TTTTATTTGGCAACTGTTGTTAAGGTTATGATTTTTGAGTTCTACATTTGGTTATACATGTACTCAAAAGGTAACATTCCATGACCTACCACTACATATTTTTAAATTTAACTCATAGGTTAACACAAAAATCCCATTCAGAACACATCCACGATTAATCTCTTTGGGAAAAAAAACATAATCGAAGTGCTATTTTAGCAAATGTGTGGTATTTTAACTATCTTGTTGGCTCTTAAAAAAGTCAAAGTCTCTCACTAATAAGAGAATATTGAAATGACAGATCTGAGTATGAGAGAACACTATATATAAAAATCTGAAACACTAGGCCATGATATCACATGAGGAACAGAGTCATGTTATCATTCAGTAAATGTTATTACGCACACTAGGAGGCAGTCGGAGACTACATGCATACTGTCAAACTACAAGTAGAATGGGCCTTTGGCCATCAAAACAATCATCTGATAACAAAATACCAGTAAAGAGCTTTATTTTAGTTCTTAAGCCATCAAGGCCATGACCACATACGTGAGAAAAAACTTTTCACACACTTGCGAGTATGTGAAGTAACAATGCTTTCCACTTTTTAGAAATTCAAGCTAACTTTATCTAGTTGATTATCTTGTGCATAAATTTGATTTTGAAAATTACCTTACTTTTCTAACGAAATCTCTTCCACCAATTTGAGTGTAAAATGCATTTAAATATAATAAATATACTATTTAGTACATTTTTACAAGGTGACTAAACAGGTGTTTAAATATTACTGATGTTATTAGTTTGTTCTAGTTTCTAAAAAGACAAGACTTCTATACTGAAAATTCTATTTACATGACAAAATAAACCACAAATGATGGGTTTAACCACTGTTTTGAAATAAAAGCAATGTATTTTCCTTTCTTCTGACAGCATAAGTCAATATCTCATGCGGTTTTCAATATCAGATATCATTATTCTTTGGCACTGAATGTCTCGACCACATTTAAAAGAAAATGATATGCATATATTTAAGTGAAAGTGGGAATGGACATATTGTGCAACGAAATCATCATTAAAATATATGTTCAAAAATGACAGGACAGTGTTTGTCTAGCCTAAATGCTGAGAAACGCAATCCAGGGTTAATTGACAGTCCAAGCACAGTTGAAAGTTGTAATGGAATGCATGACTTTAAAGATAAATAAACCGAGTTCTGAGAGCGAAACAAGCTTGAAACATTTGGGTCGCAAACACGCAACGGTGGTCGAGTTTTTGATGAACCATTTCTTACCAGACTAAACGGCTGGTAGATATCAACAAAAAAACATAATTAGGTCTTTAGAAAGACCCACAAAAACTCCCACGTGGAGGAGAAATTATGAGATTATTCCTAGATCGTTTGAAAGTCGTAAAATGCCGCCAAGGGCATTGTTAAAATCGCCATTTATCAAAACCTTGTTCGCAAATATGTGCTACTCGCCGCGTGAAATGTGCTCTACACGCATAGAAGCTTATGAGGGAGGTACATTCCAAAGATTAAATCGGCTAAGTAATTAAACATACTGCATTTAATTTAGCGTGCAGCGAGACGAAAGCTTACATAAACAGCTTACATCTTCAAATTTAACAGCCATATTTCTATATTTCAAATCGTTAAGCGGCCAGAACAAAAACTGAATCAAATACTCATTAAACTTACTTGTCATATTCCTCGTTGTCTTTCTCGCATCGCTGGTCCATGTACTTCCTCCAGTTCTTTCCATGTTTGCAGGTTGTCAAAAGCACAATGTCGTTTCCGTTGTGAATATGGTAAAATGAGTTCCTAGACTCGCTTCCTATACCACTAAGGTAACGTTTGCCCTTGAAGGCAAGTTTATAGTTCCTATTCAGAGGAAACACAGCACAGCTCGAAGGAGCATCAACAGCATTGCCTTTTTGAGGATGACTTTTCAGAAACAGTGGAAAACTAACGTCAAAGCCGGGTCTATAAAACTCCGTGGAGAGAGATGCTTTCGCTAATATCGCTTTACCAGTATCGAGGCGAAAGTCTTCAGAATAGTCAGGCCAAGTTCCAGAGAAAAGATTAAATATAACGTGGTTTTCTCCACCATTCCAATGCGGCAAAGACGACACCTTGGGAGGCAAATCGTGCACATAATCCTCGCTCAGATTATCGCGGTCCAACGTATCGACAGAAGGTATAAATAAACAAGCCTTTTTCGGGTCATCTGTGTAGAATTTGCTCTCTCGAAGTACCTTTAACAATTTGCCGAACAAAGGAGAAATCTTCTCTCCGGCTTGAATAGGATAAACATAAACTTTAAAGTCATTCAGACATTTCGTCCTATCAAAACATGTTTCCATAGTGCATTTTCTAGCCCGCACTGTTGCACGTTCAGGGCGAAAACCAACATGGTCTCGCAAACTTAATTCATCTATTTTGTCTAAGAAACATAGCCTTTGCTGTTGAAGCTGAAGTCCGCCGTTGGGTCGAAAACTTGGCCTTGCAGACCGACGCCACGAAGGAGAAGTTTTTCTGTACACGATTAAAACACTGCCGCACAGCAAACTGATCAAAAATATCAAAGAATACCTCTTCTTTGCATACATCTAAGTCCTTGAAACTGGTTTTCATCTATACTGCCGTAACTCCCTTCCAAAGTCCCTAAACAAACCAAAAAATACCAAATAATTCATCAAGAAACACGACTTCCTCGCCGCCGCATCGTGACATGACAGCTAGTGAGAGACAAACTGAGATCACCCCGCCATGGTGTGACGTCATCTCACCGGAAAAAGGAGAGGCAAGCTATGAACCGGAAGTTAGAGTCATCAATCAGTCTGATTTCTAATCCAATATTTTTGAACGTGAAGCGAAAGCCCAGCCGGAAAAAACAGTATTCGATTTTGGCACTGAACACTTTTAGGCGTTTTGCAATGTACAAGCACAGTCATTTTCTGACCGTTGACATTGTTACAAATAACTGTTACAGAGAATTGTTATTCTTCTTGGAAATTTTGTAACTTCTTAACTCAAGACGGAAGAAATTTGAAACCCGTGAAAGGGAATATCCCGAGTTTTAGTCAAGTGCTATTTTTATTTAAAAAGAGGATTTCTGGACCATTGAACAAATTCTTCGACACTTATTAACGTTTTTAAATATCATATTTCGTAAAAAACCTCTTTTGGGTTTCCTCCCCCGTCAAAACGTGATGTTCTGTCGTGTTCCACGATTTATCCCTTCACCTCTTCCACTCGTTCCAGCTGAAACGTTTGTAGATAGGGGCAATACAACACTGCAATAAAGCTGCGCTGTAAATCCCTTGAAAAAGGCTTGAAATATTTCCAAAATAGCATCAAAAACTAACCACATTTTTCAGCTTCAACGTCCGGTCGTTATCTACAACAGAGATCGCTATACTGCAAGGAACTGCAAGTATTGTTTAAGTTGTATCACACCATGCAAACGGAACTGAGGCTTTCAAAAACTTCCATTAGAAGTTTTCCCAAATTAGAAACTGAATTCGCAATTTCTAAAGTAACTGGAAGGAAACAAAGTATCAGGAAAGCTTAACCCTGGGCGTAAAGAAGAAAACTCGATAAACGTATTTCGTTTGATTGAATTTGATGACCTGTTTACTATTCGACAAGACAATACAGTGACCGGACAGTGTTTTTGTAATACTTTTATCTGGGGGGGGGGGGTTAATCCCTTATATGAGCTAAATAGGTATTTGCGGCCCCAAAGGGTGTGTTTTATTGGGACGTTTTGGTCAAAGATAGGGTATGGTTTTTGCACTCTAGTCTTGAATTGGATATGCTTTTTTTTTAGACGAAGCTATCCTACCTAGTAAAAGCATATCATGAAACAATGCTTTTAACATTGGTCTGAAATAGGGAACTAATTATAAGCCAAGTCTGAAACAGGTATTGATTGAAAGTCATGCCTTAAATAGGGTATCGAATTTTTGGTCGGGTCATAAATAGGGTAGGGAAAATCGCAGTTTTTGGTCTTAAATGGGGTAAGGGTTTTGGGAAGCGGGCCGCACACCCCCATCCAATGTTTCTGGGAGTACCCCCGGGGTCTTTTGTTAGCATACTTGATGTGCTTTTGCCATTACTATGGCACATTTTGAAACAATATGGTATAGTTTTTAAAACGAGATCGGAGCGTTATTAACTAGTAAATCTCTTACTTTTGCAATGACAATCTCAACTCCTAAGGCCATGTCAGTAATTATCTAAAAATTGGATCGATGTTTGAAAGCTAAAAACATAGCTTTTCGTAGATCTTGTACCCATTTTTGGCCTGATCATCCTGAAAACGTCACAGACACTTGAATCTTCCGGTGAGGTCTTCTTTTGATTATTTTCGATTCACATTTCTTAACACTTTAGATGCTGGTTTTTTTTTTCCTGCTCCCGTTTTGATGTTATTTTTTTTACTTTTTACTGATAGAGCGCCAGAAATGCGTCTTGTTTCCAGGCCACAGCCGATATTTCTCGACAAGGCCCAGTTTCTCGATAACAAAGAAAAGTAGTATTTGATATTTCTAAATGAGCCTACTGCCTCATTGTACTGGCTACAAAACGCTGAGATATTCTGCGACATAAATAGATAAGTAACGGGAGTCCGAACATTCTTTAGACGCAAATTTTGTTCCCAAGGTATACCAATTAACATGCTAATACAATTGTTTACTTTTTCTCTTTCTTTCAGGACTTGCTGGCTTGACGATAGATCGTGATGTAATTAATAGTATTCACCCCCACTTATTCATCCTAGATGAAACTGAAGTTAAGGAAACGAAAGTTTACCCTGCGTCAATCCGCTGTGTTAATAACGCCCACGAAGAAAGTTTTTATCCAAAAATTAGCGGCTATAGCTTGATTCGAACGATTGCTCACTGAAAGCAGGAGCTCAATTGTACAGAAATTTTTAAGAAAGTTTCAGTAAAATATATATAGTAGCATGAAGACAAGGTAAAGGAATCGAGCATACAGGTTCGATCTGTTGGTTCGAAAACAGTTCCCTGCATGCACCTGCTAATATCCAATTTTAACAAGTAACAAATTTCGCAAAATTATCCTAATACAATTGTGAATTAAGTAAAAAGAATAGTTCAGCATCTACCAAGTCAGTCTTGGTTTTAACGAAATTAACCTCAAGGAAATCATTCTAAATAAAGTTTCAGCGTTCATGATTATACACACTATGTATAAAATCTCTTCTGATACCCCAGGACATATATAGACCTTTCTCAGCCGGATAAAAAAGTTTTGCTCACTACTTACCAATTAAACTTGGCCTTCTTGTTCTGAGCATTCAGCTTACGGGACACAAAATGATTAAGTTCAATTTCCTATGAATTTTTTATAAACAAATGTCGTTTATGGTAAATCTTCGTGACAGCCCTCGAGATTTTTCCGATTCTCGTTGTCCAATCGGAATTAGCTTGAGCGCTCCGATGTACTCCGAAAGTTGTCACGTCAGCTCAGATCGACAACAGACAATGTCGTGTTGCTTAGCGACAATGACATTCCGAAACCGCTGCCTCGGAAACTTTTTGACAGGCGAGTTCTCGCGCAAAACTTTACATATAAAAATGAGAAATGACTTCGATTTGCATGCAGTTGAAAAACTCACTTTCATATGAATGGTTTCCCAGGATGCAAGAGTCGATTTGAAAGAGAGGCAACAGACAAGTCCGAAATGGCCTAATACACAAGCCAGAAAGCGAGAAAAACCTCAATGCACCTAGCCAAATAGAAAACTACAGACGCCATGTTCTTCCTCAGGAGAGAGTTATACCCGCATACCAGAGAGACAAAAGTATTCGTGCCTGGAGAAAACTAAGGTAACAAACCCGAATTCAATGGAATCCAAAGCAATTACGGATGCAATTCTTTTTCTTTAGTTCGCATTTTCACACACGCATCGTGCTGCGGCCCTTTTGAAATATTTTATTGAAAGATAAATTATTATAACTTCGGTTAGCAATAGTCGCGGCTGTTCCCTGTTCTTATAATAAAGTAAACCCGGCCGACGAAGACAATTCTCTTGCCGACGGAGTTTTTTGGCATGTCGACAAATTAAGTATCATAATATTAAATGCAGGAAAACCTAGAATCACTGCTTCCTGCGGTAAAGCAAACTATGCACGTGCCGTTTACGTGGAGTGATATACAAGAGACTTCGTTGCTCATTTTATGAAGTTATTATTAAAATTACCATGGTGACTGAGGATAAACTAATGAGCCAATGAACCTGTTTGACCCTATTGAACACTTCTACACCGGAGTCAGGATTCTTTGAACCATATGGGGCACGGAAATTGATTGAAAAAATCGAGCATGCAATACGAAATATCGAGGGCAAATTTCTCCTGGCTGTTTTGCAAAGGAAGCCCCACTTAAAATTACTTCGAAAATGAGATTGTTATTCCACTGTGCGCGATGAAAAACTTTATAAATCAACAGTATACATTGAACGCGATAGATGGATGTATAGATACTCCAGAATGCTCCAGGGGAGGGGGGGGGGGTGTCTCAGTTACCCAAGAAGCACTCAGCAGAGAGCTTTAGCAATGACGACGGCGACGCCGCGGAAGACGCGTTGCAAAAATTGGATTTATATTTTTCCTTCGAATGTCGCAACTGTGTAGATCCTCTCACTACACATATCGGTCTAAAAACTTGCTCAGGCAAAATATGTAATGACAGCGTTCATTTCTAATCAAGAAAGATACGAAAAATTAGCCTCTGCGGGTCACATTCTCCAAAATACGTAGAACTTGGTCATTTCACGTTGTTGTTTTGCAGATAACGGGTAAGAAATGTACCAAGATTCAAAACGCACGTGCACAGCCATTGTTTTGCTCATTGAATCTTTTGTTTGGTGATGTTGTCGTTGGCGTCGCCGTCGTGGTTTGCTAAAGCTCCCTTAATCATCTCACTGGTACGAGGTCCTAAGTTTTTCTATTGCGCAAAAATATAGGGAGGTGAGCGGTGGAAATCACCGGCATGATTATTTTGTTTTCAGTCTGTTCGATTTGACTTTTCTCTTCGGAGTAAATAGTTTTCTGTCTTTGAAGGTAAAAGTTATCGTTGAACCGCGCGTAATTAAGATTGGAGGAAAAAGCGAAGGCAACTGCTCGCACAGGAGTCGCCTCACGCGATCGAGGCAGGCCCTGAAGGTGTTCCTGCGCATTCATCACTTGTTCTCCTCGTGTTTAGTAACATTAGTGCCGTGAGTTTAAGTAACCACGACGGCGATGCCGAGGACAACGTCGATTAAAAAATCCATTTATATTTCACCTATGAAACCCTAAAGTCATTGATTTTGTTTAGCACTGTCAAAACTATCACAAAACTAAATCTGGAACACAGCGCTAAATTTGGAATGGACATTTAAAAAAAAAAATATAGCCGTTGGGGTTCACGTTCTTCAGGCAACGCAGAATTTGGTCATTCCATGTTATTGTTGTCTTGCAGAGGACAGCAAAGAAATGTACCAAGAATTATAACGCACGTGCACAGCCATTGTTCTGCTCATTAGTGACGTTCCCGTTGCCGTTGCTGTCGTGGTTTTCTTATACTCCCTAAAGTTTCTTAAACTCCCTATTTATTTTGAGGGGAAACTTGGTCCCTGTGACTTGTCCATACAATACTAATCAGTTTGAATTAGTTTGCTAGTCACAAAAACAAACCTATAGCTCTCTGCGACAAAATTTGACTAGTATTTCACCCTTTTCATGTCAAAGACCCCTCTGTTG